ACCAAAAAAATCATCCGGCGAAAAATCACGAAAACCCTAATTTGCTCCAATCTTGAAAACGAAAAGTGAAACCCTACTTTCTAAGTTCATTTGCACTTATTGTGGGGTGCTTGAGTAGTAGGGCCATAATAAATGAATAATTTCCAAATAAAAGGAATTTTAAGAAAAATGTGATGAATTTTACAATTCCATAGAATAAAATTAGGGTTTTGAGTCAAATATGAGGGATTTAAACATAGTCACAAGTAAACTAGGGTTTTTGATTAAAATTTTAGGGTTTCTAGTCTTTTAAAACAAAATAAGGTTTTAAATCCAACCCAAAGAAATAACTTTAGTATCTTCCCTGAAACAAAATAATGTTTTAAAATAAAATGAACTAAAGAAACCGTAAAACAATAGCATCTTAAAAGTTGGGGTGTCACAAATTTGACTATGTGATCTTCATGAAAGTTGTAGACCCTCGTCTTAGCTTCGAAACGGTATAAGTTGTATCCAAATCCGATAAGCGTAGCTTCGGTTGTGTCCGTTACGCAGAACTCTATCGAATCTGTCTCTTGTTAACCTTCATTTCCGCACTTGTTGTTAACTTGATTTTGTCCTTGTATTGTCTTGAGCCTATTGAACGACTATTGAAATTAGATTGTTGTGTGTGTACCTTTGGGTTTGAATGAGGAAAATAATGAAGCCATAAGTGGCTGAAAATAGGAAAATACAAAGGGCATGCTGCCCAAATTTACGCTCGAGGACTAGAGAAATACACTTGCGACTTGGGTAAAATTGATAAATGAATATCACTCGAACCATCTAGGACTTTTGCTACTTTGGTTATCGAGGGTTATACGTTAGAACCTAGCCGAACTTGTACCCTTAGGAAAAGCGGTAATAATCACGATAAATCCGTTTTCCTTGCACTTTCGACTCAAAAGTTATTTCCAAGTATACATCTTACAAAATTTTTCAGTTTGAAAAGCGAGCAACCGTTTCACGACTATTCTCCAAGTGAATTTCAATTTCTTGATTCTTATTGAACGAAACGTCTAAGTTTCGAACCTTAGTTGATTTTCAAAGTTCTTAAATCAAGTTTTATCGCAGATTTGGATTCTAAACCCGGAGTACCACCCAGACGCGAACATTAGAGGCACTACTTTTGGTGACTGCTTCCAAATATCTGATTGAACTTGATGTTTGTGATTTATCTTTGATCAATGTGATTACATGATATATAAGTGATTTGATCGAGCAAGGGTATACTTTATCGCACTTGCCCTAACGAGAATTGTTCTTGTTTATCGATTTCACTTGACTTGCTCTACATGCATATGAATTGTATCTTGTCTGGAATTCCAGAAACCCTGTGGCTAGTTAATCGAGTCGAGCCGGCAAGGGTTTGGTCGATTAGATAACGAACCCTGGGTAACTAGTAATGTCGAGTGGAGTGTTATCTCCTCGGCTAATCGGTATACTCGAGTATTACCACCCGTGTTTCATGTGACGTGCGGGCTCGGATAAGGGGGTTGATCGGTAGACGGAGACTGGTGTGAAGTGGGGTTTTCTTTCTGGACTAGTTATTACTTGAAAGTTGACGGAGTGTCAACTACCAATCGATCAAGCTGGGATGGAGCCGAGACATGAGCCACTGTATCCTTACATGTGAATATGATCCATATATTCTTGATTACCTGAAGTATTATCTCTTTGATTGGACTTGTTTGCTCGCTATTTCACTATTACACTGTTATTACTTTGTTTTATGGCCAATTTGATATTTGGAATTTCACTGAGTTTTGGCTCACTTCATTAGTTTTATTTTCCTTACAGGGGTACGAGCGAGGCGTGAGACGTGTAAAGACTAGCGTAGTCTAGTTGTTTTGACTTTTGACTTGTACTCGCGCTATTACTCGAATAGAATATTTTGTATCTGGATTGTATACACTTTGAACCAGTTTGGATATATTGAGGTTTTGTATCTTGATTGTGTATCAATGTAAATTATAAGATTGAATTGCGATGTTATTTATGGTCCACGGATGTATGCACGTGATACGAGTGAGTGAGTCCTGACGAGAGCTGGGCAGGCGGTCCGCCGAACCGTTTGGTACGCCTTAGGGGAATGTGGGGTCGTCACAGGTGGTATCAGAGCTTAGGTTGTGAATTGATTTGGATAGATTGAGTGCTTGATACGATAGGCTAGGGTTTTATTCTTGAGCTTAGCCTTTAGGCTTGTTTTCTACGTCTCCTATACTTATTTTGTAATGTTATTTGCAAACCTAGGTGATGGCAGGTACTGTGTAAGGATCGCAGACAACCAATCGAAAAGCCAATCGATAAGCAATTAAAAGATCACAAATGTAACAGTAAGTAAAAGGAAAGAATTGCAAACCAATTAACTACCCAGCTCCTCTTGAGCTTCAAACAAGCTACTTCAAATTGATGAATTACAATCACTCTTGTGTACAAAGGAAGGTTCACCTCCTCCTTGCCCCGAACTCCACTCGGTCAAGCCAGGACGTTTTACTATCCCTCAGGACAACCCTCACAGAGCTACACTCATGAAAGATTCACTCACAAATGAAAAGCTTACAAAGAACCTCACACCACTAAGACTACAAATCTTCTTTTTGGAGTATTTTCTCACTAAAATCTCTCTAGATCTTTTGTATCTTCAGTGTGCCAAAGTTGTTTTTAGTGTCTGACCAACCACTATTTATATAGGACCAAGAAAGTGCCTCATTAATGCTTCCAACGGATAGAAAATAGCTGAACAGTCAACTAGCCGTTGGTAGTGTCGGACATCCGATAGCCCTGTTTTATGCATCCGACAGCAGGCAGTGAGTTTCAGAGATTTTCTTCAATTCTTTCGGACGTCCGGTGGAAGCTCTTTGTGCGTCCGACAGCAAACAAACAGATTTGAGAAATTATCTTGTTTCTATCGGACGTCCGGTAGAGACATATTCAGCGTCCGATAGTATCGTTGACTTCGAAGGATCCTATCGGACGTCCGAAGCATGCGTCCGAAGTTGTGCAATGATTATCGGACGTCCGATCCTGACTTCTTGAGCGTCCGACAGTTTCAGCATACTTTGTCATCTTTCAATTGTACTTGATCTTTGGAACTAATTTGCTTCATAACTGAATAGATCTTTTAAGAGACATTAGTAACATCCATTTGTTTTGTAAACATCAAAAGATAGGGATCAAGATCAAAATACTGCATCTGGGAGTACTGGGCCGTCTCAGCCCGTACCTACTGACATACCTACTGACGCTCCTATTGACGAGCCACATCTGGAGGGGCCCGTCTGTCGCGTGATCACGTATCAGGAGAGCCTCGGTGGGCCAGTGCAGCGGTGGTCCCCAGCGCGCAAGATCCGACGCTGCGACTGCTGGAAGACCTACTCCTACCCTGATCGGGTAGTGCTTGCAGTGGACGACGAGCGGAGACGATTGGGTAGCGCTAATCGTAGGTGCCATTCGGAGATAGAGCGTCTCCAGGCTACTCTCTGAGACCAGGGAGTCCGGATCCGAGAGCTGGAGGCCTCGATTTTGGAGGAGCAGCAGCGGACTGATGCCTTTCGCGAGTAGGCTCAGGCGACTATTGGACGTCTTATACGAGTGGTTGAAGACATCCGAGACCGGACTGGCCATATCCTGACCGAGTGCGAGGCATTGGTAGAGGATGTGATACAGGACTTGGCCGAGGAGGGTCAAGTGCCTGTAGCCCCTGACGTTCCTGGTGCTCCTGAGGAGGATCCGGAGGAGGATCCTGAGGAGGACCCGGAGGAGGAGCCGAGTGCATCCTCAGAGTCTGTTGGGTCGGCGTCTAGCCAGACGACTTGTTAGGATCGAGGGTTGAGGAAACTTTTGTGGGATAGTTAGGAACATAGTAGGACGACATGTTTTCTTTTATTTTGGACTTTGACGTGTCATGGTGGATGTAAATAGGGTATCTTTTGTCCTATGTTCCTTGGCTAGTATAGCCTTTGACTTGTCTAGGGTGGCATGTATATGTGACTTGTTTGCTATGTATATAAAGAACTTGTTTATTATGTGTTTTATTGTCTCTGTTTATCCTTTTGCAACGTGCGATACGAGCCATACCTTACTTTGTTTATATGTCCATAGTTGGTTAAATCCAAAACATGGGGGGTAGAAGAAGTCAAGTCAGGGGAACTAACCGAGGACGCGGTCCTAGTCGGGGCTGTGGGGGTAGACAAGCATAGGAGCCAGTGCAAGAACCGAGAGAGGAGAGAGAGGCAACGATTGAGCCACAACCTGAACCCCAGGCTGTAGGGGGAGATCAAGTGGCAACCGCAATCCAACAAATGACTAATATTTTGGCCTGTCTAGTGGAACAACAGGGTCAAGCCCCTATAAATCAACCTAGGGACCCCGATATGGGGCAAGATAGGGTCTTAGAGAGATTTTAGAAGTTCTCTCCACCTAAGTTCCTGGGAGGACCAGACCCGGAAGGAGCTGAGAAATGGCTAGAAGCCATGATCAACATCTTTGCCGCTTTAAACTATACAGAGAATAGGCAAGTACAATTTGCTATTTTCCAGTTCGAAGGTCCAACCAGGGCTTGGTGGAATGTAATTAGGGCCAAATGGGAGAGAGAGGGAACTGCATGGACCTGGTTAGACTTTGTACGGGAATTTAATGAGAAATACCTTCCACCTATCGTCCAGGAAAAGAGAGAGGACGATTTTATTAAGCTTCGGCAGGAAACTTCTAGTGTAGCTGAGTATGAGACTTAGTTTACAAAATTATCAAGATTTGCTCCTGAACTGATAGTTACGGAGTAAAGAAGAGTATGAAGATTTGTACAAGGGCTCAATGTGGAGATACAAGAGGCCTTGGCGGCGGCCCAAATTAATACATTTACGGAGGTTTTGGAGAAGGCCCAAAAGATAGAGACTGCCAGGGCACAAGTGAGAAATTTCCACGCAAAACGGAAAGGGGTACCTAGTGGAGCCCAAGGGTCAGCGCGGAGTGATCGGAACATGTCACCTGCTAAATCCGGTCGTGGGGCTGGAGGTGGACGGTTTTCGAGTGCATCTAAGGGAGGTGCTCAGAGAGGAAGTGGCCAGAGAGGAGGCCAAAGTGCTAGGGGACAAGGCAGAGGCATTCCACAGGGAGGCCAAACCTCCACTTCCCGAATAACGTGCGGATATTGCGGGAAACTGAACCATACAGAGGATGAATGCTGGAGAAAGGCTCGGAAGTGCCTAAGGTGTGGAAGTACGGAGCACCAGATAGTCAACTGCCCGTTGATCAGTGATACTCAGTCGACTGCCAAGTCAAACCCAAAGCCGACCAATGTCGGAGGGACTAGGTCGAGAGTTTCGGCCAGAGTGTATTCGCTGGACCAACAATCGGTGCCTGAACCAATGGAGGTGGTAGAAGGTACGATCCCTGTCTTTTGTTAACCCTACATTTATGCTTGGAATTGACATGAAAGTTGAAAGGCTACCTTATGATTTAGAAGTAAGAACACCTACGGGTAACCAAACTTTACTTGCGAATGAGGTGTACAGAAATTGTGATATTTGGGTTGGTGAGCGGAAATTGATTAGTCTAGCCATTAAGGGGTACGATGTCATTCTAGGTATGGATTGGCTAGCTCATTACCATGCTCGGGTGGATTGTAGGATGAAGGTGGTAGAGTTTTGCATACCAGGTGAGGCAACTTTAAAGTTAGACGTAAGGGGTATGTTAGCCTCATCTGCGCTCATTTCGGGAATAAGGGCTAGGAAATTGCTTAGTCGTGGGACACGTGGTTATTTAGCTTTTCTAGTTAACACTCCGGGAGAAAAGATTAAGTTGGACGACATGCCAATAATTAGTGAATATCCGGACGTATTTCCGGAGGAGTTGGGGTCACTGCCACCCGCAAGGGGGATTGAATTTAAAGTTGATCTAGTACCCGGAACAACTCCCATTTCAAAAACCCCTTATCGAATGGCACCTGCTGAGCTTAAGGAGTTAAAGGTGCAATTGCAAGACTTGCTAGAACGGGAATTCATACATGAGAGCGAGTCACTATGGGGAGCTCCAGTCCTATTTGTTAAAAAGAAGGACGGGAGTTTAAGGTTATGCATTGATTATTGAGGACTGAATGCAGTAACTGTTAAGAATAAATATCCTTTGCCCCACATCGATGAACTGTTTGATCAATTACAAGGGGCTGCGGTGTTTTCTAAGTTGGATCTTCGACAGGGGTACTATCAATTGAGAATTAGAAAGGAAGATGTGCCAAAAACGGCGTTTAACACTCGATATGGGCATTTTGAATTTGCAGTAATGCCTTTTGGCTTAACCAAACCCTAGCAGCATTCATGGATTTAATGCATCAAGTGTTTAAACCTTACTTGGATAGGTTTGTAATGGTGTTTATTGATAATATCCTGGTATATTCGAAGTCAAGGGAGGAGCATGAACAACACTTGCGAATAGTGTTACAAACCCTAAGAGAGCACCAATTATTCGCTAAATTCAACAAGTGTGAATTTTGGCTGGGAAAAGTGGCGTTCCTAGGTCATATAATTTCAAAGGATGGGCTTGCTGTAGACCCAGCGAAAGTGGAAGCCATAGCCAAATGGAAGCGGCCAGAGAATCCCACAGAGGTGCGAAGTTTTCTAGGATTAGCAGGGTACTACCGCCGATTTATAAAGAACATCTCGAGAATTGTGGGACTCTTGACTAACTTGACAAAGAAACAAGGAAAGTACAGTTGTGATGTTAAGTGTGAGAGTAGTTTCCAAGAGCTTAAGAAGCAATTGACCATGGCTCCCGTATTAGCTTTGCCCAATGGGAAAGATAGTTACACGGTTTACACCGATGCTTCGAGAGAGGGGCTAGGGTGCGTGTTGATGCAAAATAGGAATGTGGTTGTCTTTGCATCTCGAAAGTTAAAACCTCATGAGCAGAACTATCCAACCCATGACTTGGAGCTTGCAGCTGTTGTGTTTGCCTTGAAAAAATGGCGACATTATCTATACGGTGTGACTTTCGAGATATATACGGATCACAAGAGCCTTAAGTATCTGTTTTCTCAGAAGGAGCTAAATCTAAGACAACGTCGGTGGGTGGAGTTCTTAGAAGATTATGATTGTACGATTAACTATCATCCCGGAAAGGCCAATGTTGTAGCAGATGCTTTAAGTCGAAAGGCTCAACTAGCAAGTTCCATGGTGAGAGAGTGGAGCTTGTTAGAAGATGTATGTGAGTGGAAACCTCGTCTGGAACTGAAGAAGGTGATTCTTGGAAATATTGAGGTGAAGTCGATACTGTTGGATCGAATTAAAGAGGGCCAAGTAAAGGGCCCAATGGTGCAAAAGTGGGTGGAAAAAGTGAAGAAAGGGGAGTTGCCTAACTTTAACCTAGGTCCTGATGGAATCTTAAAGTTCCGAAATCATGTTGTTGTACCTAGGGATGAGGAGTTAAAGAGGGAGATTTTGGAGGAATCTCACCGCTCTAGGTATACGGTGCACCCAGGGAACAATAAGAGGTACCAAGATCTAAAAAGTCTGTATTGGTGGGATAATATGAAGACGGAGATTGCCCAATTTGTGCAAAAGTATCTTACGTGCCAACAAGTGAAAGATGAGCATAAAAAACCGCCAGGTCTGTTACAGCCTTTAGAGATCCCTGAATGAAAATGAGAGCACATAATGATGGATTTTGTATCAGGGTTGTCACGAACACAAAAGGGGCATGATGCGATTTTGGTAATAGTGGATCGATTAACTAAGACCGCACATTTCCTGCCAGTAAATATGAAATATTCTTTGGAGAAACTTGCCAAACTTTATATGGATGAAGTGGTAAGACCACACGGGGTACCAGTAAGCATTGTATCCGATAGAGACCCTAGGTTTGTATCCCGATTTTGGCAGAAATTGCAAGAGGCTCTAGGAACTAAGTTGAATTATAGTACAGTATATCACCCACAAACTGATGGACAATCTGAGAGAACCATTCAAACTCTTGAGGATATGCTGAGAGCCTGTATGGTGGACTTTGGAGGAAGTTGGAGCCGATACTTAACCTTGGTTGAATTTGCATATAACAATAGTTATCATTCCTCTATTCAAATGGCCCCATATGAAGCCTTGTATGGACGACGATGTCGATCCCCAATCCATTGGGATGAAGTAGGAGAGAGAAATATTATAGATCCGGCTACAATACCATGGGTTGAGGAAGCCTACAAACGGGTAAAGGTGATCCGCCAAAGACTTCAAACAGCCCAAAGCCGACAGAAAAGTTATGCCAATCATCGGAGGAAGGATTTGGAGTTCGAGATAGGAGATAAGGTGTTTCTTCGAATTATCCCGTTGAAAGGAAAGATTAGAGCAGGAAAAGGGAAAAAGTTGCAACCACGGTACCTAGGACCTTTCAATATACTCCAGCGAATAGGAAATGTGGCTTATCGACTTGTATTACCAGCTAGTTTGTCTCAGATCCATGACGTTTTCCACGTTTCTTTACTTAAGAAATACCATCCGGATCCGACTCACATTTTGCCACCAGAAGATATTGAACTCGACGAGTCCTTAACCTATGAAGAACGACCCATTCAAATATTGGATCGGAAGGTGAAGGACCTGAGAAACAAGCAGATTCCATTAGTAAAGGTTCTATGGAAGCATCATGAAGTGGAAGAAGCAGCTTGGGAACTAGAAAAGGACATACAAGAGAAATATCCCGACCTGTTCACGACGAAAGGTATGAATTTCGAGGTCGAAATTCTCTGAAGGGGGAGAGAGTGTGAGGACTTGCAAATTCCTTATATATTTCTTGAAAATTCCCTTTTATTAGAAAATTATTTGGCAATTATTATTCTACACTATCCTACTACTCAATCACCCTAGAAAAGTGCCAATGATCATAGGAAATTAGGGTTTTTCTTTCCGATTGCAATTCTAAGTGAAATAGGATTTTTCGTATATCCATAGTGTAATTATCCGGTATGGAGTAAGGATCAAATTTGGTGCTTAAAAGTGACTTTTAGGTGAGAAATAATATGTGATTAGAAGCAATGATAAAAAGTTAGTGAATAGGAAATAAAAACCCTAGTACGTGTGATTTAAGGAAAAACGGTGCGAACCGACGTGTACCGTGCACTACCGATTGAACACCACTTGATCACCACTTTCTTACCATATAAGCTCATTAAAATTTGAGTAAAATATCCCCTCATTTCCAGCTGGCTTTGGCAAAAAATTTTGACCAAATTGGCAAGGAAAAGAAACAAAAAAATGAGTGGAAATTGGTAATGACACTTGTTGGCCATCTAGGGCCTTGACCAAGACCAAATTGTCTTGCCTTATTATCACCATTTTGGTTCCTTTCTTCATCATTTCTACTTGCTTTGGCCGAGAGAGAGGGAGAGAAAAACCAAGGGAGAGATACACCATTTCATCTTGAGTTTGAGCCATCCAAGTGAGGAAACAAGAAACTAAACCGATTAAAACCTTCTTTGAGTGTTTAGCTAGTGGTGTGTTGGTGAAAATTTGGAAGGAAAAGCCAGGGCTGCTCTTGGTAGTAACTTTAATAAGGTAATAAGGATGATTTACCATTTCTTACTCTTGATCTTGTTTAATTTGGCATAGCACCTTAAATTTGTGATGGATGATACCTATTATAATGATTTGGATGGATTTAGTGTATGTTCTTGAGTTACATGAGTTAGGGTTTGATGGATAGTATATGTTGTATCTAAACTTATATAAGAGGTTGTGGTGGTGATTGAGGCAAGAAATGAAGAAAGTTTCCTTTGAAAACGAAAAATTTCAGATTTCTGGAAAACTGTAGCTCAGTTCTGTCCGGTTCCAGTTTGTGATGTTAGAGGCCGAATTAGCATTAGCATAAAACATGAAAGTTGTAGAGAATGATATTTTATAGATTCCTACAAAATTTCAGTCCAATCGGAGCAATGTAACCAGTGAAAAGACTAAAATACCCTCACTGCCCTAGGATGCATCCAGTGATCCGTTTTAGACAGTTCATCCAGTTGACCGTGTCTATTCACTATGATCCGTGCTGATTTAGCCATTTGTCAAAACATGAAAGTTTTAGTACTCTGTCTTATCTTTTCAACACCTCCAAGAACGCCTTAAACGGACTTTGGTAGCCTGAGATATGGCCATTTAAATATAGTACAGTTAACTAGCCGGTTAGTTGGAAGTTGGTTCTGTGAATTGGGAATTTGACTGGGTTACACTGGAAATTTGACTAAGTGATCTTCATGAAAGTTGTATACCCTCATCTTAGCTTCGAAACGGTATATGTTGCACCCGAATCTGATAAGCGTAGCTTCGGTTGTGTCCATTACACAAAACTCTATCAAATCTGTCTCTTGTTAACCTTCATTTCCGCACTTGTTGTTAGCTTGATTTTGTCCTTGTATTGTCTTGAGCCTATTGAACGGCTATTGAAATTAGATTGTTGTGTGTGTACCTTTGGGTTTGAATGAGGAAAATAATGAAGCCATAAATGGCTGGAAATAGGAAAATACAAAGGGCATGCTGCCCAAATTTACGCTCGAGGACTGGAGAAATACACTTGCGACTTGGGTAAAATTGATAAATGAATATCACTCGAACCATCTAGGACTTTTGCTACTTTGGTTATCGAGGGTTATACGTTAGAACCTAGCCGAACTTGTACCCTTAGGAAAAGCGGTAATAATCACGATAAATCCGTATTCCTTGCATTTTCGACTCAAAAGTTATTTCCAAGTATACATCTTACAAAATTTTTCAATTTGAAAAGCGAGCAACCGTTTCATGACTATTCTCCAAGTGAATTTCAATTTCTTGATTCTTATTGAACAAAACGTCTAAGTTTCGAACCTTAGTTGATTTTCAAAGTTCTTAAATCAAGTTTTATCGTAGATTTGGACTCTAAACCCGGAGTACCACCCAGACGCGAACATTAGAGGCACTACTTTTGGTGAGTGCTTCCAAATATCTGATTGAACTTGATGTTTGTGATTTATCTTTGACCAATGTGATTACATGATATATAAGTGATTTGATCGGGTAAGGGTGTACTTTATCGCACTTGCCCTAACGAGAATTGTTCTTGTTTATCGATTTCACTTGACTTGCTCTACATGCATATGAATTGTATCTTGTCTGGAATTCCAGAAACCCTATGGCTAGTTAATCGAGTCGAGCCGGCAAGGGCTTGGTCGATTAGATAACGAACCCTGGGTAACTAGTAATGTCGAGTGGAGTGTTATCTCCTTGGCTAATCGGTATACTCGAGTATTACCACCCGTGTTTCGTGTGGTGTGGGGGCCCAGATAAGGGGGTTGATCTGTGGGCGGAGACTGGCGTGAAGTGGGGTTTTCTTTCTGGACTAGTTATTACTTGAAAGTTGATGGAGTGTCAACTACCAATCGATCAAGCTGGGATGGAGCCGAGACATGAGCCACTGTATCCTTACATGTGAATATGATCCATATATTCCTGATTACCTGAAGTATTATCTCTTTGATTGGACTTGTTTGCTCGCTATTTCACTATTACACTGTTATTACTTTGTTTGATGGCCAATTTGATATTTGGAACTTCACTGAGTTTTGGCTCACTTCGTTAGTTTTGTTTTCCTTACAGGGGTACGAGCGAGGCGTGAGACGTGTAAAGACTAGCGTAGTCTAGTTGTTTTGACTTTTGACTTGTACTCGCGCTATTACTCGAATAGAATGTTTTGTATCTGGATTGTTTACACTTTGAACCAGTTTGGGTATATTGAGGTTTTGTTTCTTAATTGTGCATCAATGTAAATTATAAGCTTGAATTGCGATGTTATTTATGGTCCACGGATGTATGCACGTGATACGAGTGAGTGAGTCCTGGCGAGAGTTGGGTAGGCGGTCCGCCGAACCCTTTGGTATGCCTTAGGGGAAGGTGGGGTCGTCACATAGTACCATTCACCTTTTGATGGGTGGACTCCAGAAGTCTTCTAACAACATTTCTTCTTTTTCTTAAGGACCAGAATTTTGCTTGGCTATACCAAAAAAAATATTGTGGAAAATCAGTATACACACATTTTAATGCCTGTGCATCAGAATTGTACTTGTTCATATAAAAAAATTCTGTTAGTTTTGTTTTTTTGACAATGGGATTACTTGCTATATTCTCAAGTGAATGACTCTCTAGAAAAGTTAGTGGCTGTTGATCTTTTAGATGAACTGGAAGTGTCATGACTGAAGGATGCATCTCATTCAAGTTGAAGCCATAAATCCTCCACATTGCTTCAGGAGGTGAAATCCATCTTGCTGTTTGAAATGATTTAATTTTGTCCATCATTTGATCTTCTGCTATAAAGCCTCTCAAGGCCCAAAGCAACTTAAGGGGGGGTGAATTAGGTTGATTAAAAACTTAACTTTGTTTATGGCAAATAAGACACAATTTAAATTTACCAAGTATATCTAAGTAATTAATCACTTGAATAAATCATAACAATGAAGAACAAATAGGAAATAGTAATGAGAGATCAAGTAAATAAATAAGAGACAATAGACAAACCAAATGGACTACCAAGATCCACAAGATTTGAAGTCCAATTCTTCAATGAAGAGTTTCTTCAATTTGATGAAGTTACACCAAGATTCTATAAGGAGAGATCACCTTTTGTTTACCTC